GTCCAAAAATCACATTTTTGGTTCACGGGCATTACATTTTATTTATGTTAACGAAAATCTAATTTTGTTCACCACAATTAATTTTCTATAGATTTATAAAAGATTAAATCATAAACCAGCATATATGCGGGTCCTTCATCTAGTTGTATATAAAATTTAAAAATTAATGGTCTGACAAAAACAAATAGTATTTCTAAAAAGTAGTATCAAGGTGTTTCTCAAAATCTTTAAAAAAAAAAACAAGATGATTCCTAGCTCATCTAGGAAACCGTTATCTCTTTTTTCCTGAGTGCATCCTCTTCTAAACTAGTTCTTCTTACGTTAACTCTTTGATCTCTTGGGGTTTTGTTGTTGCCAATGGTGAGGGGTTTAATCAATTTATATCTCAACGGCTAGTCTACAACTCCATTCACCTTTTGGGGCTCGTGTCACAGTTAATCTACATGTAAGCGTCGTTCACTGAAGTAAAATGTTTGGAATTGATCACTTCGTCGTCTTCGGTGTCAATACTATGTTTACTGATCTCATGCTACACAACTCGCTTTGATTGTGTTCGAATTAAATGCGTAAGAGAAATCTAGCGTGTTCTTTGATGTATATGCTTTAATCCATAGAACAGAGTGTTTGACCCGATACTATTACTAGAAGAACTCAAATTGATTGGATTAGATTAGGATAGAACGAAGAGCTTATTACATATTTGAGAACCAAACAGAAATGAAAAAAAAAAGCAATAGAATATAAGCAATAACATCGATTTCTCTTTCATAATTATAGATACTCTTAATTAATAATGTCTTCTTCTGGATGTAAGGCATGTAGCTTCTTTCCTTTCAGAAGAATCTTAACGGTTTTAATTAGTGTTATGGTACCTAGCTTGTGGATAACGTCCTGATTCAATGTCATTGACATCTCGAATGAGCAATTCATAGTGTCGTTTCACCTCTTCGGCCGATTTTCCACCAACGGCTCTTGCAATGTTTTGCCAACGGTCAGGAGTGTCCTTGTCGTATGTAGCCAACGCCACTTCGAATTTCTTGTCTTGTTTAGCTGTCCATGATGAGTTAGAGCTCCGGGAAGTACTGCTCATTGAGTTGGAAGCCATTAGTGAGAATGTGGAAGTTTACGATCAAATTAAAAGTGGAAATGAGAAGTTTGGTTTGTATTGATGATGAAGTGTGTTGATTTGGTTTTTAGTTGAAGAGAGTGTGGAGCTCCTTATATGTAGGAGGGAAAAAGAATATAAGCAAGTTGGAAGAATATAACTTTTGAAAGGAGAGATTTTTAGAGTGGCCTATTCTTTTCACAACCACATAAATTTTAGCGAAGGGACAACAAAATTTATTGGAAGCTTTGATATGATGATCATCATGAGATCGATATAGTCCCTTATTGGACATAATAAAGGTTTAATTGGAATGAGATTCCTTGAACATTGCTATAGAGAATTAGGATGCTTCCTTTTCTTGATAGTATCCGTACACTAAACTACTATTGGAACCTCTCTTACTTCTTTCCATTTTGGATCTTATCATCATTAGAGTCGAATTAAACCTCTATCTGTATCAGATGCTACTCAAAAGCATGTGATTGTTAAGCTTGTGTTTAATGTTTTTTGGGTTTCAATCTTGTGTGATTGTGAAATAATATCTTTTGATTTAATTGCATTGAGCAGTTAAATGATACTATGTATTTTTGGTTTGATTACCGATGCTCACTTTTCCATCGTAGGATTGCAATGAGAAGCGAATATTGCCATTATTGGTCCTAAGCTCCTTGAGCAACTTCAGGTAATCTTACATTTACTGGTTTATGTATGATGCCTTAGCTAGTAGGTGATGTAGGTGTACGTCAGAACATGATTCCAATTATTAGAATAGACAAATCTCAGAAGACACAAAGTACACTTAAGATTTTGTACTTTGGCATAATCAGAGATTTTTAACTCTCTAAAACCCTGCGTGCCACCGAATAACATTCTTTGACAATAATAGGTCGTCCATCTATTAGAAAAGCAGGAATTTCAAAAATAACATTTTTATATACTATTCCCTTGATTTTAAAA